CTGCAGAGCTCGCGTACAACCACTTGAAGAACCTGTATCAAGCAACGGACAGCGTAAATCAAAGTCGGTTAATGGCGCAACTGACGACAGTCAAAATGAAACCAGGCGAAAAAGGGATGGCGTATATCAGCCGTTGTCGCGAACTGCGCGACAAACTCCTTCGATGCGGAGGGTCGATTTCAGAAGACGCCTTCGTCATGTCGAATGATAGTAGGCAAAGTTTAGATTAAGGGCCTAGACTTAGAAGCCTAGGCCATGGGAGTCGAGGTGGTTGTGCCAAGTCGAGAGAGTCGAGAAAGGAGAATGGAAAAATGACTTCACTATAGGTTTGCAAGAACATATAGCAAATGAACAAAGAAGGTGCACCACCTAACAAAGTTTATAATAACTACACTACAGCTACAGGCAGTTACAGATATATTCTAACACGTCACAGTCATCATCGGTGGCCTCAGTCCTCAGTGGCGCTCCACCCGCGCCATACTCCGAGCACATGGAAAGATATCAGAAGCAGCACTCTGCGCCGAAATCCATGCTGAGCAGCAAGATATGGACCTGCAAGAGGAACGACACAGGAAGAAGGCATCAGTGCCCGAATTTGCATTCCACACTCAACGACGCTACAACAACAACAATCGGCATCAACCGAAATCAGTACCTCCTTTCTGTCATTTTTGCAAAACGTCAGGGCATCCTCGCTCACACTGCCCTAACCGACAACAATCAGCACCGACGCAACGGCAGCTTCAGCCTTCAAGCAGTCAAGTTGCTTCAACAAAAGTAAATCCGACACCCCAAGTACAAGTCTCAACAACATCGACGGGACAACCTGCGCAAGAAACAAGAAATATCGTCAGTTGCATGACACGACTGACCGACTCCTGCATCACAGAGTCTCCACCACATTACTCACCGGAAGAACAACTCGACAACAGCACGCCTCGCCGCGAGTCACTTCAACCAAATCCAACATACGCAGCCATCGCACAAAGCGAGCCATCCGGGAAGGATACGTGGTTCTTGGACAGCTGCTGTGGACAACATATGTGCTCCTCTGGACGCTTTGTTCAACGTGAACACCAACTTCAACGAGAAGTCGTCATCACCGTCGCCAACAATCAGAACCTGCGCACACGACGACAAGGCGTAGTGCAACTTCAGTCACGAGAGACAAATGTCATACTGCAGATGTCAAAGGTTTTGATAGCAGAAGGACTCGGTTACAACTTACTGAGTGTCAGTCAGTTGATGGCGAAGGGCATACACCTCGAGGCAGACAGCACCACTCAGGAGTTTAAAATATACCACGGCAAGGGTGGTCTCTACATCGGAAAGGCAGTCTTGAAAAACAACGTCTTCGTCCTCGACTTTGTTCCAGATCTCGGCACCGCCGACAGCGACGGGATCGTCACCTTCACCTCTTGGACACATCCACCGGATCTTGACCCCGACTTCAGTCCAGAAGGCTTCTGGTATTCGCACACCATCCCTGAGGCAGAACGAACACGAGCATTAGCGACAATTCAACACCCGGCAGCAGAGACAACAACGGCAGCAGCAGCAGCAACATCGACACCAATCGCTGGTCCTTCAACTACATCACCTCAAATCGACGACACCCCATCGACTCCTGCGCAGCAGCTTCACCCAAAAACACGAGAAGAACATCGAAGTGCAAACTTCACCGCAAGCTTCTACTCCAACTCTGACTTGTATCGCCGCTCACCCGGACATCGCGCCAGCGAAGACATCTGGCACGCACGAATGGGACATCCAAGTAATACGGTGTTAAACAACACAATCAGAGCAGGAGTGCTCGACAAAGATTCACTGCTTGAAAAGGTGTACAGCGACATCCTGTACAATCGCGAACCCGGACAAGGAGCATACAGCTATACCATCACGTTCATCGATGCAGCTACACGTTACGTTTGGCATCTCAATCTTCCGAGCAAGGACATGGCCTTCGAAGCCTTCATCGCTTGGCTTCCAGTAGCAGAACGAGAATCGGGCGAGAAACTGAAAAGCTTTCAGTCAGACGGAGGAGGAGAATACACCTCACAGAGGTTCAAGCAGTTCTTGGCAGAAAAGGGAATCAAGAGACTCATCTCGCTTCCTTACGCCCATCAACAGCAAGGCGTGGCGGAACGGATGAATCGAACTCTCCAGAACACCATGCGCAAATTACTGCGTGGCATGCGACTGCCCAATCACCAGTGGCCTGAAGCGACGGACCACGCTGACATGCTGCACAACTTGCTTTCGTCGTCGTCACTACCGAACAACGCATCACCGCACCTGCTGTGGACAGGAAAACAGGGCAGCACAAAAATGTTAAGAGTTTTCGGCTGCATGGTACAGTACCGACCCCCATCTGCACGAGCCGACCGATTTTCCCAACGAGCACAGTGGGGACTACACCTGGGCATCGAAAGAAACTACAACGCGTGGAAGATTTTCGACGTCCACTCCAAAGAAACAGTAGCAGCACGTGACGTCATTTTCTACGAACGACTCACCCTTCCGACATACCTTGCCAACCTGGAAGAAAATCTGGATCCCACAGGTGGCTTCCATGGTGACCGACACTTCGCCTCGGCAGCAGACGAAGCTGACTGGGACGAGCAGAACGTGGACAACGCCTCGGAAGAAGCAGGACCACTCCCTTACTGCTCCGTGCCTATCCCGATGGATGACGAAAATCCTCGCGACAGCGTCAACGCCGAAACATATTTCGACCTCGCCGACACTGGTTACGTTACACCTGCAGAAGTCAACACCAACGAAGCAGAATGCATAGGGCCCAATTTCATACCTGACCCAGAAGCTGGCGACGAAGCAGCTTATCCCGCGGACACAACACTCCCCCGCTACACACAGAGTGGCCTTCAGATACTTGGTCTCGTCACCGCGGTCCACGGCACCGATACTCCTAAGGAGCCTGCCACAGTTCAGCAGGCTCTGGGGGGGGAACATAGGGAAAAATGGCGTGAAGCCATGGACAAGGAACTGAAAGCACTACAGGAGCGCAACACCTGGAAAGTGGTTCCTATCGGCGTGCCAAAAAACAAGACAATACTCACCGGGAAGTGGGTCTTCCGTGTGAAGACGAAAGCAGATGGCACCATCGACAAGTTCAAGGCACGCTGGGTCGTACGAGGCTTCGATCAAGAGCATCGACGTGACTTCACCGAGACATTCGCTCCGGTCAGCCGACATACTTCACTACGGATTCTTCTCGCGGTCGCCGCTATGAAAAAGAAGAAACTGCGGCAAATCGATGTCGCCAATGCCTTTCTCTACGCACCTGTCGACGCAGAGATCTACGTCGAACTCCCACATGGTTCTCACGGAGAGCCCAATCAAGTCTATCAGCTGCAAAAATCTCTGTATGGGATTAAACAGGCCCCGAGACTGTGGCAGCAGTACTTACACGCCCGACTCACTCGCATCGGATTCAAGCAGCTGCCGCACGACCAAGGCATGTACCGATTTACGAAAGACGACGACTACATTCTATTGATCGTCTACGTAGATGATCTACTCTACATCGGATCGACCGACAACGTTACAACCTGGTTCGAAGGGGAGCTACAAAAGGACCTCACGCTTACGGTATCTTCTACCGTCACGCAGTACCTCGGTCTCAACATCCAAGAAGAAGAAGACGCGATCTACCTCAACGCTGCAAAGTATGCCGACACCATCGCCAAACGGTTCGCACTCACGCCAACTACCATCTCTACGCCATACCGCTACACGGCAGGAAATGACAAGGCAGAATCTGCTCCACTGAAACCCGCCGGTATACGCAACTACCAGAGAAAGCTAGGATGCCTTCTCTTCGCGGCCGTCACCTGCCGTCCAGACCTATCATACTCAGCAAGCCAACTCGCCACTTATCTCAAAAGGCCTGAAGACGAACACATGAAGGAACTCGATCGCGCTCTACACTACCTCGTAAGCACTCCGACGGTCGGCTTGATCTACTACAAGAACATAACTACAACGCCCAAACTAATCGGCTACGTCGACGCCGACCACGCCGGAGATCCTGACAACAGGCGCTCGCGCACAGGCTATATCTACCGTCTCGAGCCTATCGGACCTATTTCGTGGCAGTCGAGCAAACAGGAATTAATCGCCCTCTCTTCAGCTGAAGCTGAATATATCGCACTCTGCTCAGCCACCAAGGAAGGATTGTACCTTCGCGAACTTCTGGAGGAAGCGAAGCTGGCCCAGTTACCCAGCTTCTCCCTATTCTGCGACAACCAGTCGGCAATTCGCATCGCCAACAAAAATGGATTTGCGAACAGGACGAAACATATCGCTCTGCGATATTTCTTCGTAAAGGACGAGATCGAGAAGGGGAGACTTGAACTGTCTTACTGCCCCACATCCGAGATGGCAGCTGATTACTTGACCAAGAAGCTCGGAAAGTCGAAGTTCGAATATTGCATGCTGCTGACTGGACAGAGCCACGTCACCTGCAGCGACACTCCAGAAGCGAAGGGGAGTGTTGGAAACAACTGATTTTAAGCGCCTCTGTCGTGTCGAAATACCAAGACAGAAGCGAAGCAGATCGTATCGAAACATCGGTGAGTCAACCCTCGGAGGTTGAACAACTGCTGGAGGTTACGCGAAAGTCAAAGGTCAGCGACCTTTGACCTGACAAATGCAGCGCGACAGCAAGGACAAACAACTGTCTCGATACTGAGCAGTTGCCCGAGTCGACACTGTATCGAACCGCAACAGCAACAGTACAACAGTTATCAACTGTATCTCTTCATATTCCTTTGTATCCTTATAAAAGCTTGTATCTCTTTTGTTTAATCAACTTACTTTGCCCTCACATACAAGCGCAAGGTGGTTCACAATCCTTTATTAAAACGCTTCCGCTACTACATCATCTTACTCTTGAATTCTGTCCTGCAAAGATCCTAAGGGCCTTCTCAGCCCAACAGCATGTTCTCCCTTCCGAACCACATCCCCGCACTGCACTAACGTTGCTGTCCAGTCTCCCTCTTCCAATCAGAGGGCTTTAAAGCAACCGCAGACGTAGCTAGCACTGGAAATGCCTAACCCATTCACAAGCCATGCGAGTCAAGGGGACTATGCATGAGCCTGCTTTTGAGGTGCCTCAAAACCCATCCACTAGCCATGGGAGCCGTAGAGAGCTATGAGCCTCTCTGCTTCCCTGATTCCTGACAGGTACGCCCCATGTGTGTTGGAGTAATGGTGTCTCTCCGTGGCCTCCCCTGCAAACAGCACCTGCAGCTTCACTGCTGCATCCGCTTCTGCTTCTCCTTCTGCTGCTGCTGCTGCTCCCGCTGCTGCTACTCCACCAGGGACAGGCAGAGCCATTATGTTCAAGTCCTCCCCAGATCCCCCAGGAGCCACAAACGAGTACGACCCTCGGAACAGCGGGTTCGACCCCCACTGTTTGCTCAGCCCCGCAACAGCCTCCGGGAGCTGTGCGGCGGTTTCTTTCGGGAGGAAATGGCGGATAACGTTGCACAGCATGTGGTTGAAGTGAGGGAGAGTGTGGGAGGCAGTGGTGGTGGTGGCGGTTGTCAACTGGGCTAAACCATTCGCCTCACCGGTAGTAGCAGTAGCGCTGCTAGCAGAATCAGCTTGCGCGATACTAGCCTTGGCAGCCATGCTGCCATTACAAACACTTGAACTGTTCTTGAGCTCACACTCTCTCTCCTTTGTCCTTTCTTCCCCGTGCCAGGACTCCATGTCGAACGCCTCTTTCCCTGCTATCCACGCCAGCACCACTCGCGACTGCGCGTTGACTGGGTGGAAGGAGAAGAGCTTCCGCGTCCACGCAGGAAAGCGAGCCGAGGCATCAGCAGCACTAGCAGCATTCGCATCACCAGCACTAGCAGCATTCGCATCACCAGCACAAGCAGCATTCGCATCGCCAGCACTAGCAGCATTCGCATCAGCATCAGCATGAGCAGCGTCTGAGTCCCACCAAGGGCCAGGCCAGTGGGTTGGCGGAGCTAGGGGTTGAGCCGGCACGTCCCACACTATCTCCAGCTCTGCTGTGTCCTCCCCAAAAACCGCCGGCTGGGCAAGGCAAAGGGGAGGGGCAGGCAAGGAGAGAGAAAAGGCTTGGACAGAGAATGGGATCAAGACAATCAGAAGGCTGGAATGAAGAGAAAACTAATTTTGACTGCGGCTGGGGAACTCAATGTCAACATGGACAGCAGGAAATAGAGAGAAGGTTGGTCAAATACTTTTCTCTTTTATGCTTCTTACCCGTGGGAAATGCAGAAACACTTTGTTTAGTTTTGAGGCGCCTCAAAACTACACTTCTCTCTTATGCTTCATACCTGTGGGAACTGCAGGAACACTTTGTCAGCTACTCCAAAGCCAAGCCGCCGAATCGCCCCCAGTTTCGTCTCGGGCAGAGGCGGGCAGAAAATGTTTCGCTCGGGCAGGGAATCGGCGTCCTTCCCAGCAGCTCTCTCTTTAAGCACGCCCAGTGACACCGTTACAATAACATGGTCCGCGTAGACCTTCTCTCCTCCCTCCAACACCACACACACTGGTTTCCTCTTCCACTCCTCTCCCCCCTGTTGCCCCTCCAGTGTTGCGACCGCTGCTGCTGCTGCTGCTCCTGCTGATGATGATGATACTTCTCCCTTTTCTCCTGATACTGCCTCTGCTGCTTCAACCTTTCTTCCTTTTCCGCCTACCAAGGACGAGGAGGTAAGAGGGGTCCAGTGAATCTGCGAGACAGGCGAGTTGAGTCGGATGGTACCAGCAGGGAGGCTCGATGCTAAATGCTCCACAATGCGGGAGTAACTGAGGAGAGGGGTAAAAGGGGGGAGGAGAGGAGGAAGAGGAAGCGGGGGGGGGTTAGGCAGTGTGTGGTTGAGGGGGGTTGCGATGGCACACCAAGCACGAGATAGGATGGGTCAATTGAATCTGCAATACCAGAGTATTAAGCCGGATGGTGCCTGCAGGGAGACTCGATACTAGGTGCTTCACAATGTGGGAGTAACTGGGGAGGCCGATACAGGGGGGAGAGAGGAGGGAGGAGGAGGGGGTTGTGCATGGCGTTATGGGGAGGGGAGCCGTGGTGGCACATACAAGCACCAGATAAGCAGGGCCCAGTGAATCTGCAAGACCAGAGAACTAAGACACATATCTCTTAGCCACAGTCACATGTGAGGGCCCCCAAACCCCTCTTATAAGAGACATTAACGAACTCTTGGAAACGATACCCCTGGGCAATGGTGACGTGAGAGGCCTTCCAAACTCCTCATAGTCACCATTTAAGGATACAAGAGGCGTTCTCATATATAAGAACTCTCAAGAAGAACGTACCCCTGAGCGATGGTGACGTGTGGCCCTCCAAACTCCTCGTATTCGCCAAAGTAACGCAGGGAGAGGTGGTGAGTGGAGTGGCAGGCGCTGATGGTGCACTCCAGCCGCTCCCTCTGCTGCCACACCGCCGCCCTCGCCCTCACTGCCTCTGATGCCCACTCCACATTCTCGACACCTACCCGCTCGTTGCTGCTGCTCCCAGCTGCTGCCACACCACCAACCTCAACGTTCACTGCCTCTGACGCCCACTCCACTCCCACTGCCTGCTCGCTGCTGCTCGCAGCTGGCGATGGTGCTGCTGCTGCTAATGGTGCTGCCGATGGTGCTGGTGGTGATGTTGCTGGTTCAGTCGCTTGAGTGGGCGCAGTAACAGCAACGGAGGGACCGGCACTAGCACTGGCAAGATCAGGGGGTTGGAGATGGTGTGAAGGGGTGAGAAGGGAGAGGCGAAGGGGGGAGGTGAGATAATTGGAGGGGTGGGATTGGGTGAGAGAGGGAGAGGTGTGGGGGAAAGGGGGTGGGGGGCTGAGGGGATGGGGAGTTGAGAGAGGCAGAGCTGTGTGCATTGCGCAGTTGCATTGAGTCCACTTACAAGTTGCATTACAACACACCTGGTAGAGTCTTGGAAGGCGACAGCTGAGTCACCAGCATTGCACAGCACTGTGGCTCCAGTCCAGTCATCCTCCCACCTGTCCTCGTCGTCATCGCCATCATCGCTGTCACTGTCGCAGCCATATTCGCCGTTATTGCTCATGCTGCCATTCTGCACATGCTGCTGCTGCTGCTGCTGCTCCAAGTTCTTTTCCTGGTGGGCCCACCCTTGCTTGGCCAGGTACTGCAGCATGCCCTCGTGTATGTACTGCCCCACACTCTCATCGGTTGTCACCTGGCAGGGATGTGTAGAGCACGGAGCGGCATGGGGGGAGTATGAAGAGAGCATGGAAAGAGCGAGGAGAGAGCAGGGAAAGAGCAATCGCTCTCTCACCCCCTCACCTCCACTTGTTGCGTCCACAACTCACTAACCCTGCTTCCCATCACCAATGCACTCTGGGTTCACCAATGCACTCTCTGGAACAGCAGATTCTCCGACTGACCCGACCCCTTACCTCTCTTCCAGTCTTGTCCGTAAATCGCGCCTGCTGCTGCTTCCCTTCCCCCACCTGCGACCCCACCAGCTGCGCCTCCCTCAGAAGCCGCCTGAATACGCGTTTCACCTCCTTCACCACGCCCGCATCCGCCTCCCCCCCGCCCTCCCTCCTCCACCGATTTACCCCCTTCCACAGCCTCTCCTGCCCCTTCCCAGGCGCCCCCACACCCCCCTGCATCTTTCCATTTGGCTCTATGCAGCCAGACCCAGGGGATTGCATAAGGCCTTGCTCCTGTGCGATGGCGTAGAGGGGGCTGCCGTGAATGCCGTGGATCCAATTGGCGCCCAGCTGGTGGTGAAGAGGGAAAGAGGGGAGGATGAGGGTGAGGGTGAAAGAAGAGAGGAATTTTGAGACGACTCAAAACACATACAGGGCGCTGCTGTGGGGAGGCCGTGGATTCAATTTGCGCCCAGCTTGTGGCGGAGCGGGAGGGGGGGAGGAGGGGGGGAAAATGTCGGTGAAGGAAGAGAGGAGTTTTTAGGTTTCTCAAAAATCGTAGAGGGAGCTTCTGTGAATGCCATGGATCCAATTTGCGCCCAGCTGGTGGCGGTGCAAGAGACCGATGGGGGTCAGGGGCAGAGGGGGAGAAAGTGGGGGAGAAAGAGGGGGAGGGAGGGGGAGAGGGGGCGAGAAAGGGAGAAAGGGTGCGCGAGAGAGGGTGCGATAGGCAATCGAAGCTGCCCTGGGCTTCCGGGTCTGTGCGCTAATTAGGCCTTGGAGGCGTTTCAAAAGGAAGGAAAAGACGAAGGGGGCTGAAAGGGACGAGAGGCTAGTAGCTGGTTGGGGGCCTGTACGTGAGGCACGGTCAGGAAGCCTTCCTAATGGGGCGTCATGGGGCGTCATGGGGCGTCATGGGGCGTCATGGGGCGTCATGGGGCGTCATGGGGCGTCATGGGGCGTCATGGGGCGTCATGGGGCGTCATGGGGCGTCATGGGGCGTCATGGGGCGTCATGGGGCGTCATGGGGCGTCATGGGGCGTCATGGGGCGTCATGGGGCGTCATGGGGCGTCATGGGGCGTCATGGGGCGTCATGGGGCGTCATGGAGCGTCATGGGGCGTCATGGGGCGTCATGGGCGTCATGGGGCGTCATGGGGCGTCATGGGGCGTCATGGGGCGTCATGGGGCGTCATGGGGCGTCATGGGGCGTCATGGGGCGTCATGGGGCGTCATGGGGCGTCATGGGGCGTCATGGGGCGTCATGGGGCGTCATGGGGCGTCATGGGGCGTCATGAGGCGTCATGGGGCGTCATGGGGCGTCATGGGGCGTCATGGGGCGTCATGGGGCGTCATGGGGCGTCATGGGGCGTCATGGGGCGTCATGGGGCGTCATGGGGCGTCATGGGGCGTCATGGGCGTCATGGGGCGTCATGGGGCGTCATGGTAGCGTCAGGTAGCGGCTCCCTCCCATGACGCCCCATGACGCCCCATGACGCCCCATGACGCCCCATGACGCCCCATGACGCCCCATGACGCCCCATGACGCCCCATGACGCCCCATGACGCCCCATGACGCTCCATGACGCCCCATGACGCCCCATGACGCCCCATGACGCCCCATGACGCCCCATTAGGAAGGCTTCCTGACCGTGCCTCACGTACAGGCCCCCAACCAGCTACTAGCCTCTCGTCCCTTTCAGCCCCCTTCGTCTTTTCCTTCCTTTTGAAACGCCTCCAAGGCCTAATTAGCGCACAGGCCCGGAAGCCCAGGGCAGCTTCGATTGCCTATCGCACCCTCTCTCGCGCACCCTTTCTCCCTTTCTCGCCCCCTCTCCCCCTCCCTCCCCCTCTTTCTCCCCCACTTTCTCCCCCAAACCCTAAACCAAACAGATTTACCCCCCCATTCCAATCTCTACCTCCCCACACAACCAGATTTTGAGAGGGCTCTAAACGCTCGCCACTACTACCCCCCACCCTTTCCCCCGCTTCCCACACGAACTCGGCCAGATACGTCCAGATTAGTACCTCCACCAGGTCGCCCCCGAACGTGGCAGAGTGGATGCGGCCTCCCAGCCGGCCACTCGCCTCCAGAAGCAGCACGCGCACGCACCCCGATTGCTGAGCGGGCCGGGAGGGAAGGGGAGAGGGAGTGGGTCAAGACGTGTGAACGGACGGAGCTATCGAGTTTCAGAAATGAAGAGGAGAGGTTGGAGAACCCACACCTACATCCTGAATTTCTGCATCTTGCATCCTCCCGGCCACGTCAGCAGATCCCGCAAGTCAGCCATCTTGCATTTCCCGCGATGTGGTGGCGTAAGATCCCACGTGGCGCCGCGCGATCCGCGAGCTCACCTGCAGCGTGCGTGCGGCAGTCACGCCCGCCATTCCCGCGCCCACGACGACCACCACCGGTCGCGGATCCATGGTGTGCGACGTCGATTATAATCGTTGGATCCGTCGCCTATGGGTGGATCTGTCGTCTCCTCGCTCGAGAAGTCGCCTGCTTGCTCGATCAGTCGCCACGTCGACTAAAAAAGGCCTCTTTCTCCAAATACCTTGTCGAGCGCGACCTCCACCCCTCCCAGAGATCAGGATCGACGTTTGTAGCACCGTGTGAAACGTCTCAAATCTTGCGTGCAACGGGCGAACGCGTGAGCATGACGAGATTGAGGTATCTTACGCGTGACTAGTGGCTGGGTCTGGTCCAATATTCCAGATTCAAGAGAATGGAAAGGTGGAATGGAAATCGCAGGAGGCTGAGGTGAGGGGGTTCTGAGGGGTTGGGCGGCTGGAGGTTGAGGGGATTGCGGTTGTGGCGCGGATGTGGTGGATCGAGTTGAAACTGTCGCCACACCAAGCAGAGTTGCTTGACTATCTCGCTATGGGGTGATCCATGATTAATATACGATGTTACTGAACACAAGTATATCAGAAGCCACAAAAACACATTGTTCAGCACATGATCCAGTGTAGACGACTGGTTCACGAACAGGTTCATAGCACCGCTCAACCTCCCGTCACACCCAGATAACCCGATCCCACCCACCCTCACCTCCCTATTTTCCAACCAAACCATGTCCGTTTTCCGAGGTACACAGCTCCTAGAGGAGCCAGCTGCACTGACGAACACATGGCTGTTCACTATCTGTCTGTCCTGTCACATCGCTGCCCATTTGCGACTCTCAGCAGCAAGCAGTGTGCTTCGGCGTCCGCTATCCAGGTCCGCATATTTCAGCCAATCCAAGCCAAGCTCACGCTGTGAAGCAAAATGGCTCCCGTAGTTCAGAAATGCCGCCAGTACCAGACGTCACGTCACGCCTTCGCTCCCCGCGCGTCGATAATGCACTCCGCGATTCGGGCAAAATGCCATCTAGAGGATCTTATCCAAAGTGGGAGAGCGGATACGCTGCGCGTTCCGCTCTGTAATCGCAGGACCGCCTCGAGACTCTATAAATGCGGACTGAAATCAATCCACAGCTCAAACCTTCGCAGCAAGTGAGCAGTGTAACCCAGCTTCAACACTACAGCCCGTACGCTCACCAGCGACGACAGCCTTACTCTCTTCTTTCCATTCGCAATGGCTCGTCTCTTCGTGGCCTCCCTGTTGAAGGTGGTTAGCTAACCACGACCTAGCACAACCTGGAGCGACCTACATCGACCTAAGAAAAACCTACAGACTAAGGGAAGGCGAGGACCTAAGAAGAAGATAAGCTACTTATGTTGGGGTGGTGGAAGAAGGACTACGGCAGCGGCGGAACCTATGGTGAGAAACGAAGTGAAGAAGAGGAAGCATGCAGACGTGCTGAAATGTCGAGATTTAAAGCCCAAGACCTGAATTACAAAAAAAAAATGGCAAACTGTGCACAGTTTGCCTACCGAACCCACAGTTGACCTCCCGAGCCAGGCTGGTAACCAGAAAACGTCGCGCCACAAAATGACTGAGTCGTAGGGCAGAACAGGTCTGCTTGGCGAGAGTCCCAACCACCATTTCCTGAAGGAGGGTGGGCTCTGCCTGTGCACAGTTTGCAAAAACCTGTAATTCAGGAATGCTTGTGCGGCTAGTACGCGAAACTCGTAGATCATAGGCCAGAGGCAATTTCCTACCTACCACACTTAGTTTACCCTCATCCCAAGCGTGAAAGGCGCGAAGCGCATAATATTCCACACCGCGGTGAAATGGTGAACCTCAATTCCCCTCACATCGTCCTCCCCGTTGACGCACCGTCGCCCCCGCTTCCTCTGTTTCCCCGTCGCCATTGCCCTCCCGTCGCCCTTACCCCTCTCCCCTCCCGTCGCTTCCTCGTCAACGTCGTCGAGCCTCATTCCGACGCTTTTTTCACCACTCCGACCACCCTCTTTTTCCGTTGTCGTGTCCCCACCACTCCCCACTCTCCTGACAGGCGCGCCCACGTTTCCTTACTTGGGCATCGCCTTTCCGCAAACATCGCATTTGGCCCTATCGCTCACGCTTTCCCGCAACGTCGGTCACGCTTTCCCGCAACGTCGCTCACGCTTTCCCGCACCGTCGCTCACGCTTTCCCGCACCGTCGCTCACGCTTTCCCCTTGTCGCCACTCACACATCCTCCTGCCTTACCCCACTCCCGGGGACACCGTCGCTCGCGCCTTCCCCCACCTTCTCTCACGCTTCCCCGCTCAACGCCCAGGCTTCATCCCACCCTCGCCCACGCTTCACCCCACCCTCGCCCAGGGTTCCCCCCACCGTCTCCCATGCTTCCCCCCACCGTCTCCCATGCTTCCCCCCACCGTCTCCCATGCTTCCCCCCACCGTCTCCCATGCTTCCCCCCACCGTCTCCCATGCTTCCCCCCACCCTCGCCCACGCTTCACCCCACCCTCGCCCAGGGTTCCCCCCACCGTCTCCCATGCTTCCCCCCACCGTCTCCCATGCTTCCCCCCACCGTCTCCCATGCTTCCCCCCACCGTCTCCCACGCTTCCCCCCACCGTCGCCCACGTTTCCCCCCACCCTCGCCCACGCTTCCCCCCACCATCGCCCACGTTTCCCCCCACCCTCTCATCCGCCCTTCATCTCATCCTCCCGTCCTCACATCCTCGTTTCCTCTCATCCTCCCGTCCTCTCATCCTCCTTTCCTCTCATCCTCCTTTCCTCTCATCCTCCCTTCCTCTCATCCTCCCTTCGTCTCATCTTCCTTTCCTCTCACCCACCCTTCCTATCACCCACTCTTCCTCTCATCCCCCCATCCGCCCCACCGTCGCCCACGCTTCCCCCCACCCTCGCCCACGCTTCCCCTAGACGGGACAGGGCAGTGGGGGAGGCGGGGCAGGGGGGGCAGGGGAGGCGGGGGGGTAGGGAGAGAGGGTGCAGGGATCCTCCTATCCCCTGTTCCACCCCCTGCCACACTTTCTCCTCCTGCCCTCCTCCCTTCCTCCGCATTCATACCCCTTCCTCCCTTTCTCCATCTCTCGCGTTGCGCTTTTTCTCCCCGCTGATATCTCTTCCCTTCCCATCGCGTTTGCGTCATCGTCGGTGGCAAGTACCGTCCGCCCTTCCACTCTCCATTCAGCCCTTTCTCCAAGCCTCTCTCCACCCTACCACTCTCCCACCCACTCTGTCTTTCATCCTCCTGCCCCTCCACCCTGCCGCCCTTTTTTTCAAGCTGCCACTTTCCGATCTTCCTGTCGGCCGCCTTTTCTGTCCGACCCACTTGCTACACCCTACTTGATTTCCTCACATCCTCCCATCCCCCCTTTCCCTTCCACGCCTGTACACTCCTCGCCTGTTTGTATATTCAAGGGGATTGCCCTTCGATTGTCATTGTTTCGTACAGTCCTTCCCAGCTGCTTCAACATACCGGTACCATATGACACATCAAATTTCATGGTTGATGATTAGTGGTATGACAAATAGGTAACCATGCCATGTATTGATGTTTATGCGTCTCATATTAAAACACTGTCGGCTTCAGAGCAGGGTTGCACATGGCCACAAAAAAGAAGTGGAACAAAGCATATAAAAGTTGTCAACAGTGGACTATAGGCACAATGCACAAAGCTAGGAGGTGGTAACTTTTCATCACATTAACTCATGGTGGTGGGCACCTGTTCAAGCATGGTTCTGTGATAGAACGGGGATGGAAGAGGGGGTATGGCAGATAAGCGAGGGTTGGATGTGGACGGGGCAGAGGGGTGAGAAAAAAAGGGGAAAGAGAGTGAACACGGATGGGGGAGAAGAGAGTGAGGGGGTTGGGAAGAGAGTGTGCAGTGCGCAGGGGAGAAGAGAGTGTGGGGGGTGGGAAGAGAGTGTGCAGTGCGACGGGCGGGAAGAGAGTGAGGGGGGTGGGAAGAGAGTGTGCAGTGCGTAGGGGGGAAGAGAGTAAGGGGGGTGGGAAGAGAGTGTGCAGTGCGCAGGGGGGAAGAGAGTGAGGGGGGTGGGAAGAGAGTGTGCAGTGCGACGGGCGGGAAGAGAGTGAGGGGGGTGGGAAGAGAGTGTGCAGTGCGTAGGGGGGAAGAGAGTAAAGGGGGTGGGAAGAGAGTGTGCAGTGCGCAGGGGGGAAGAGAGTGAGGGGGGTGGGAAGAGAGTGTGCAGTGCGCAGGGGAGAAGAGAGTGTGGGGGGTGGGAAGAGAGTGTGCAGTGCGCAGGGGAGAAGAGAGTGTGGGGGGTGGGAAGAGAGTGTGCAGTGCGCAGGGGGGAAGAGAGTGAGGGGGGTGGGAAGAGAGTGTGCAGTGTGCAGGGGAGAAGAGAGTGTGGGGGGTGGGAAGAGAGTGTGCAGTGCGCAGGGTAGAAGAGAGTGTGGGGGGTGGGAAGAGAGTGTGCAGTGCGACGGGCGGGAAGAGAGTGAGGGGGGTGGGAAGAGAGTGTGCAGTGCGTAGGGGGGAAGAGAGTAAGGGGGGTGGGAAGAGAGTGTGCAGTGCGCAGGGGGGAAGAGAGTGAGCAGGGGGGAGGGGAGTGAGCAGGAGAGAAGAGATTGCGGGTGGGCAAGCGAGTGAGCGAGGGGGAGAGCGTGAGATGGAGAGAGTGAACGGCAATGGGAGGGGTAGTGGTGGCGACGGGCGGGAAGCGAGTGCGACGGGCGGGGGAAGCGAGTGCGACGGGCGGGGGAAGCGCGGGCGGGGAAGCGAGTGCGACTGGCGGGAAGCGAGTGCGACGGGCGGGGGAAGCGAGTGCGACGGGCGGGGGAAGCGAGAGCGACGGGCGGGGGAAGCGCGGGCCGGGAAGCGAGTGCGACGGGCGGGGAAGCGAGTGCGACGGGCGGGGAAGCGAGTGCGACGGGCGGGGGAAGCGAGTGCGACGGGCAGGGGAAGCGAGTGCGACGGGCGGGGGAAGCGAGAGCGATGGGTAGAGGAAGGGAAGGCGACGGGCGGGAGAAGCGAAGGCGACGGGCGGGAAAGGCGACGGGAGGGGGAATGTTGCGCGACGGGGTGGGGGGAAGTGAAGGCGACGGGGGGAGGGGAAGTGAAGGTGACGGGGGAGGGGAAGTGAAGGCGACAGGCGTGGAAAGCGAAGGCGACGGGCTGGGGTCCAGAAGGCATCGGGCTGGGGTCTTGGAGGCGCCATCCCACGCGGCTGCGATGGCGAAAGAGATCGGAAGCGTGGGACCTAGGGTAAGCGAGGGCGAGGAGAGAGGTTTACGCTTGGGCGAAGGGTCACGGTACGATATTCGCCGAGAGTTTACGCATCAGTTGCACCCTAAACCTGCATTTCGACACGAGCGAACACTATCTTTGTGCGTCGTCATCGAGATCCGCGTTACCCACATTCGTAAGCCGCCTCTGATTCCTCGCTATGTCTACAGGTATGCTATATGCCTAGTTATCTGCGTGCTATCCCAAACTGTGCACAGTTTGGGATGGACGCCCTTTTCTGGTTGTTGTGTGAGGGACCCCACCCATCACTCGAATTCTTGTACGCGACGGACTTTTGTCGCAATTTGGTTTCGCGAGTGAAAGTGGTTCGCACCCCAACCGAACCTTTGTCTGCCTGCCTTCCGAACCTAATTTTTCCCGTTGACTTCCGTTGAGTAATTCAGGTCTTGGGCTTTAAAGTGAAGTGAAGAGAAGTCACGCCGGGTCAAAGGCGCGTCCAAGGAAGTCTGAAACTCGAACTCAAGGCGCGCTCGGCGCATGGTTGGATTTGGAAATCGAGCCGAGTACAACTCAGCTCGAAATTAGGCGCGGCGCGAGGGCGAAATCAGAAATCCTTTTGCTTATCACTTGCTTTGTGTTTTCTGTTTTTGGATGTCTTCTTCAATGAAATCACTGGAACTTTTTGTCTTGATGTTTTTCAGCAAATTCCTTCACACAGTTGAGGCCAGAGCTTCCCATGCAAGCTACTAAGACTCTAATTAGTCTTCATAGTCTAGACTAAAGGCTGCGCACATACAAGAGCTGGTATCAGAGCTGGTTTAAGGCGCGTTCTAGCGTTTTAAATATAGGCGAAAATTATTAAGTATGACAGGCGATCATACTGAGGTGAGTTCGGGCTCCTCTGTGAGCATTGGAGGCTCAGAACTACAGGCCATCCTATCAGAGTTAGCACAAGCTCGGTTAACAGCGAAACCAACAATTGGGCTTAGCGAGGCCCAACGATTCCATGGAGAAAATTATAGCACGTGGCGACTCAAGTTCATTCGTAGAGCGGAGGAAGTGGATCTCTGGTCGTACTATCATCCCGACAAGGAGACGGGAGAGGGCGTTCCACCATATGCAAAAGAAAAACCAGAAGAAAATGCGTCATTAAAAAAAAGGAGTAAGCAAGCTTTTTTCCAATTGTGTCATTCGGTTTCGGACAGCATTGCAGTGGGACTGGATCAATTTGCGAAAGAGGAGAACTCTGCCGAACGAGCCTGGGAGTACATGGAAGCAGCTTACCTTGGGCTTACGGATACCAACAAAGCCGCCATTCGGAAGAAACTCCTTCTATTGAATATGGAGCCGAGGGAGAGGGTCATTGACTAGGTACATGAATCGAGCGAAGGGGTACAATGACGACCTCAAGGCTATGGGGGCAGCTGAAACTGAAGGTGAAATGATGGGGTACATCATTACTGGGCTGCCCAAGGAGTGGGAAGCAGAGATAGGGCTGACGCTCCAAGCTTTGGAGCGGGTGAAAGCTGATCGGCTCAGGAAGGAGGTTAGCTTGAATGGAATGGGACCAGCCACACATGCTATGGTAAACGCAGCAGCAACATGGAAAGGATATGGAGGATTTGGGGCGTGTTTTCAGTGTGGGAAGAAGGGTCATAAGCAGATAGACTGCTATGACAACCCAAGGAGCAGAAATTACAAGGGGAAATGGAGCGGTCCGCAGCAGAAGGGGCTGCAGAATGGATGGCAGCAAAGAGAGGGGGAGGTTCGAGGTGATAACAAGATGCAGAGAGGCGGATTTTCAGGGGCATGTCACTATTGCCAGAAAATTGGGCATAGGGCAGCCAACTGGTACTCGAACCCCAACAGCAGGAACTACCAAGGGACGAACCAGCAACAAAACAAACCAGCAGCAGCAAAAGCAAATGCAGTGGAAGCTGAAAACAGTGAAGCAGACGTCATCTTGGGAGGAGCTCACAAGGAAAACGTGGCAAGGGCATCGGGGGTGTGTTTGGTGGCAAAGGGGTTCGGTGAAGCAGCGTGGTTCATGGACAGTGGGTGCACTCAGCACATGACCAATCACTGCGAGTGGCTTAAAAATCTGAGGGACTCCAACGTACCGTACGTACTCTCGGGGGATGAAGGGAAGCTGATTGTGAAGGGGGGAGGAGAGTTGCTACTCCAAGGAGAGTACAGGGAGCTGAAGCTGGAAAATGTTCTCTTTGTGGAGAAGCTCTCACTGAATCTGATCAGCCAGTCTCAACTTGACAGCATGGGGTGCAAGACCTTCAGCGACAAAGGAAAGTTGTGGGTTTTCAATGAGGATTGGAAGGTGGTAGCAGAAGGGAACAGAAATCAAGGGTTGTATGAAATGAAGCTGAGGAAGAAGGGGTTGGAGGATGAGAATGCCACCTACCTGACATCACTAGAAGGAGACCTAGCTAGGGAGGAGTTGAAGGCTCGGCTTGATGGCTTACCTTTGAAGGAGCTTCAGCAGGAAGCTTCAGCTATGGTGGTTGGGGTGGAGAAAGGGGAGTTAGAAACCTTGCAGAGGCGCATGGGGCATGCAAGCATGGATAGGGTCAAGGAGTTAGTCAAAAAGGGCATGGTAAAAGGTGTGGCACTGAAGGAGGGGCCTGAAAGCAAGGGAAAATGCAGCAAGTGCGTTGAAGGTAAAATCACAAAATCCCCACATCCCCACCACCAGGCGTAGGAGCCTTATGGCACCTTGGACATCGTAGCAGCCGATGTGTGTGGGCCTATGAGGGTGGCGTCATGACACGGCAGCCGCTACTTCGTTACCTTCACTGATTTAGGAACGAGGCACACATGGGTGACAGAGCTGAAAGATAAGGCAGAAGTGTTTCCTAGCTTCGTGACTTGGATGGCGGAAGCAGAGCGGCAAAGTGGGAAGGTGCTGAAAGTTTTGAGGACAGATAATGGCGGGGAGTTTACCGGTGAACTGTTCAACAAGTTTTTACAGAGCAAGGGTATCCGACGGCAGTTGACTGTACCCTACACTCCACAGCATAACAGCATAGCAGAGCGAGTGAATCGTGTCATATTACAAGTTTACTGCTATCTAGGCTGTAGTGGGTTTAGCCTTAGGGGGTACAGTAAATTGCTCGACACTTCATTGTATCCCCCTCTTTGCCCTAATCCACACCATTCCTTCTCAAACATGGTTCCTACACTCACTATAGCTACTATTTCAACATGGTATTAGAGTAGTTACGCTCCTTGGGCCCACCACCTGCTGCCCTGCGCGCCGCCCTCGTGCGGCCCCATACTCTCGACGTTCGGCACGGCCCGTCGCCCGTCGCCCGTCGCCCCTAGGCCCCGGCCCCGTGGCCCGTCGCTCGCGCCCGTCGCCCCTCGGCCCGTTGCCCCTCGGCCCCTTGGCCCCGTCGCCCCTAGCCGCGGCCCCTAGGCCCCGTCGCCCCCAACTGCGGCCCCTCGCGACCCTAGGCCCGTCGCCCCGTCGCTTCGGCCCCTTGGCCCCTTCACCCCTAGCCGCGGCCCCTAGGCCCCGTCGACCCCAGCTGCGGCCCCTCGCGACCCTAGGCCCCGTCGCCTCGGCCCCGGTGCCTCGTCTCCCCTAGCCGCGGCCCCCAGGCCCCGTCGCCCCCAACTGCGGCCCCTCGCGACCCTAGGCCCGTCGCCCCGTCGCCTCGGCCCCTTGGCCCCGTCACCCCTAGCCGCGGCCCCTAGGCCCTGTCGCCCCCAGCTGCGGCCCCTCGCGGCCCCAGGCCCCGTCGCCTCGGCCCCTTGGCCATGTCGCCCCTAGCCGCGGCCCTCGTCGACCCGTCGCCCCGTCGCCCCTAGCTACGGCCCCTCGCGACCTGCCGCCCCTAACCGCGGTCGCCTCTAGCCTCGGCCCCTCGCGACCTGTCGCCCCTAGCCGCGGCCCCGGTGCCCCGTCGCATCATGGAGGGTAAGGGGGTGGCAAGAGGGGTGACGGTTTCTTCCTGCCCGCGCGCCCTGCAGTTGCACGCGCAGCTCCGCCCCCGCCCCCCTCCCCCCCCTCCCCCCCCTCCATGGGGACGGGAGGGAGAGGGTGTGAGGGGGTGGCGGATGTGCCTCAGCAGCAGCAGCTGCCGCCACGCCTCCTCCTCTCTCTCTCCCTGCCGCACCCTGTGTTGGGAGGGGGGGGGGAGCTTGGAGGTTCAGGGGGAGGCAGGAGGGGATCTGCAGCACCAGCCCCCCCCGCCCCCCCTTTCTCCTCCATCCCTGGCGGGTGAAGGATTGTGGAGCAGCAGTGGGGGGGAGGGGATCTGCAGCACCAGCCCCCCCCCGCCCCCCCCTTCTCCTCCATCCCCCTGCTACGGGTGCAGCAGTGGGGGGGAGGGGATCTGCAGCACCAACCCCCCCCGTCCCCCCCCTTCTCCTTCGTCCCTGGGGGGTGACGGATAGTGGAGCAGCAGTGGGGGGGAGGGGATCTGCAGCATCAGCCCCCCCCTGCCCCCCCTTCTCCTCTCTCTCTCCCTGCCGCACCTTGTGTTGGGAGGGGGGGGGGAGCTTGGAGGTTAAGGGGGTGGCAGGAGGGGATCTGCAGCACCAGGCCCCCCCGCACCCCCCCCCCCCCTTTCTCCTCCATCCCTTGGGGGAGGGGATCTGCAGCACCAGGCCCCCCTCCCCCCCCCCTTTCTCCTCCATCCCTCTGCTGCGAGTGCAGCAGTGGGGGGGAGGGGATCTGCTGCTGCCACGCCTCCTTCCCTCTCACGGCTGCGCCTGCTGCTGTGGGGGGAGAGTATGGGGGAGCTTGGAGGTTCAGTGGGTGGCAGGAGGGGATCTGCAGCACCAGCCCCCCCCCGCCCCCCCCCCCCCCCCCCCTTCTCCTCCATCCCCCCTGCTGCGGGTGCAGCAGTGGGGGGGGAGGGGATCTGCAGCACCAGCCCCCCCCCCCCCCCCCCCCCCGCCCCCCCCTCCCTTCTCCTCCATCCCCCTGCTGCGGGTGCAGCAGTGGGGGGGAGGGGATCTGCAGCACCAGCCCCCTCCGCCCCCCCCCCCCCCTCCCCTCCCTTCTCCTCCATCCTCCTGCTGCGGGTGCAGCAGTTGGGGGGAGAGGATCTGCAGCCCTGTGCGCCCCGCGCGCCCTGCTGCCCTGCAGCCCTGTGCGCCCAGCTGCCCTGCTGCCCTGTGCGCCCCACGCGCCCTGCAGCCCTGCTGCGCCCCGCGCGCCCTGCTGCCCTGTGCGCCCCGCGCGCCCTGCAGCCCTGCGCGCCCTGCAGCCCTGCGCGCCCCGCGCACTGCAGCCCTGTGCGCCCTGCTGCCCTGTGCGCCCCGCGCGCCCTGCAGCCCTGCTGCGCCCCGCGCGCCCTGCTGCCCTGCTGCCCTGTGCGCCCCGTGCGCCCTGCTGCCCTCTGCACGCGCCATGCACAGCCCCTCCCCCCCCCCCCCCCCCCCCTCCCTTCTCCTCCATCCCCCTGCTGCGGGTGCAGCAGTGGGGGGGAGGGGATCTGCAGCACCAGCCCCCCCCCCCCCCCCTTTTCTCCTCCATCCCCCTGCTGCGTGTGCAGCTGTGGGGGGGGGGAGTATGGGGGTGGCGGGATCTTGGAGGGTATGGGGGTGGCGGGTATGAGGAGCCAGCAGCCGCCCCTCCTCCTCTCTCTCTCACGGCCGCGCGTGCCACTGTGGGGGGAGGGTGAGGCGGTGGTTTGTTGACTTTTTTGCTTGTCTGCCGTAGCCTTGCCCTGCTTGTACTCGCACCTGTATATCTTATGTAACCTCTTGGACTGGCCTTGTGGCCGCTTGCTAGTGCTCAGAGTGCGTGGTGATCTTGAGATCCACCCTAAGCTTGCTTTGCTTTGTTCCTTCTCCTGACTAGTCTTGTGACCGCTTTGTTGTGTTTGCTATCCCCCACTTCGCCTATGGGGGTGTGTCAAATTATAAGTTTACTGCTATCTAGGCTGTAGTGGGTTTAGCCTTAGGGGGTACAGCAAATTGCTCGACACTTCATTGTATCCCCCTCCTTGCCCTAATCCACACCATTCCTTCTCAAACTCTCTCGACATTGAACCCTAGCATGGTTCCTACACTCACTATAGCTACTATTTCAACAAATCAGTCTCTACTGGACAGTGTGAGAAGCATGCTGGCCGACAGTGGGCTGCCACTGAAATTCTGGGGTGATGCATTGGCTATGGCTTGCTGGTCCAAGAACCGCCTACCTACCAAGGGACTTCGGGCAGATATGACTCCCCACGAGGCCTTCTATGGCAGGAAGCCGAATCTGGGGTTTGCACGGGTGTGGGGGAGTATGGTGCAATACAGGGAGCCAGCTGGTCCGGATCATAAGTTGCTGCCCAAGGCTCATTGGGGGATTAACCTCGGTACCTGCCCGGTGAGCAAGGGGTGGGTGATCAAGGCTGTAATTTCAGGAAAGGTCACGATCACCCAGGATGTTGTCTTCTTTGAGGAGGTGAACTTCTTGCAGTGGAAGGGAGTGGAGAAAGAGATTGCAGCAGCAGGGACAGCAACTACACCGGACAAGGTGGAGGATCTTTTGGAGGAAAAGGAGAGTGAGGGAGTTGGAGATGAAGGAGATGAGGAACTCGAAGATGTGGAACGGGCAGATTCAGTTGATTGGGTGTGGGAGAAGGCACCAACCAGTGAAGCGGATGAAATCAATGGAGTGGAGATAGCAGGGGAGCAGCCAAGCAATGAAGTAGCCGAGGGTGGCATTGATGAAGTGGCTGGAGAAGAGGGAGATGAAGAATCAGTGGCCGAAGGAGATAGTGATCCTTGGAAGCTTCTAAACAGTGATGACAGTAATGCCAAGATGAAAGAGATAGAGGACTTACTTGAGGAGGGCACCATCGTGATTGGAAGGGAAGTGAAGGATGGAGAAGGGAAAGCATTGGCGGATTCCAGTGAGGATGAGGTCGAATCACCTGCAGAGGAGTTGGGGAGAGGAAAGAGGGTGAAGAAAGCAAACCCTCGGTATGCGCAACTGCTGATGACGTGCTGGAAGGACATCCATACCCACTTCCTACTCTCTGCCACAGCTACTGACCTAGTCTCCAATGAAGGAAAAATGACTCACAACCTGCCCAAAGAACCTGTGAACATTGAGGATGCGCTAGAGGGTCCAGAAAGGGAGCAGTGGAAAGCGGCAATTGAGCAGGAGCTGAACACATTGGCTGAAAGAGGCACATGGGAGCTTGTGCCTATGCCGGAAGGGAGGAAAGCCGTGGGGGTGAAGTGGATTTTTAAGATCAAGACTGGAGATATGGGGCAGCTGGAAAGGTTCAAAGCAAGGCTTGTAGCCAAGGGCTACACTCAAGTGGAGGGGAAGGACTACAACCAGAACGAAATCTATGCTCCAGTGAGCAAGTTGACAACGGCACGGGTCTTTCTCAAAGTGGTAGCAGCAAGGAAATACTTCATGGTGCAGCTGGACATAAAAAAATGCTTTCTTGTATGGGGTGCTGAAGGAGGATATCTACCTCGAGCAACCACCAGGGCATGACGACGGTTCGGGCCGAAAATGCAAGCTCAACAAGGCACTGTATGGGCTGAAGCAAAGTCCTAGGGAGTGGTATATGGCAATGGATGAGCGGCTACTACAAGGGGGGTTTCAGAAAAGTGAGTGTGATAGGGCATTCTACTGGAATGGAGAAGGGAAGGAGAAGGTGTTCTTGGTACTATACGTGGATGACATCTTGGTGGCAGGAGCGTTAGAGGAGGAGTTAGAGAAGGTGTGCACTCACCTTGCGGAAGTTTTTCAAGTGAAGCAGATCCCGAGGAGCACTCTCTTTCTCGGCATGAATCTGGAGAGGCCTAAGGAGGAGAAGAAGATGTTTCTGTACCAACAGAAATATTGCAGCAGGGTGCAGCAGAGGTTTGGAAATGGCTACACGAAGGCGATTTCTACACCATTGAGTGGGGTAGCTGAAAACGACGGCGAACGAGAGGAAGATGTCAACCAATGGGGTAGCAAGGAGAGGGCTCTACAGGTATACCAGTCCATGGTGGGGTCCATAATGTTCCCTGTTTCATGCACGCGTGTTGACATGGCATACGCAGCTAGCTACCTTGGGCAACAAGTGCAGCAGCAAGGAGAGAGAAAGTGGAGAGAGATGAGGAGGACCATCGACTACCTCCCGCAACATGAAAATGAGGGGCTGCTATTTAAAAGAGGTGAAGAGACCCTGGAGTTAGTGGGGTATGCGGATGCTTCACACGCATCCGACAAGAAAACAAGGAAGGGAGCATACGGTTACGTGTTTCTGCTCGGCGGGACAGCAATCATGTGGCAAGCGAAAAAGTTGGCTGACATATCACTCTCTAGTGCGGAAGCAGAGTACATGGCTCTGTTTTACGCATGCCAAGAGGGGGTTTGGCTGAGAAGGCTACTCAAGGAAATGGAAATCAAGGTGGAAGGGCCAACGGTGATTCGCACGGACAGCAAATCTGCAATCGACTTGGCTCATAACGACAATTGGCACGGCAGAACGAAGCATATGGACGTGAAGTATCATTGGGTGCGCTCAAAGGTGAGAAGCAAGGAGTTCACGTTTGAATTCGTGCGTATGGAGGCACAGACGGCAGATTTTATGACTAAGGTGTTACCAAGGGCTAACTTTGAGCGTTGCAAGAGAGAGGTTGGAATACGTACCTTGGCTGAATTGCAGGGGAGTGTGGAGCAGGCCTAGAGATGGTTCAAGGTGAAACGTACGAGGGAGAGTGTCAGAAAATATAATTATATGTTCTGTTATATAACTGCCTGTAGGATTTACTGTAGTGTAGCTCCTATTGTTTGGTGGTGCACCTTTGTTCATTTTGCTATATGTACCTAGTGTGCTATAGTGAAACCCATCATTCCCCTTTCCAATTCTCTCGACACTCAACTCCCTCGACACTCACTAGCCATGGCTCCTAAGTCACGCTAGGATTCTAACATGCTATCAGAGTAGGTCGTTCCTAGGACCTCACATCAATGGGCCCACCACCTAATGCCCTAGCCTAGGCCCCGGCCCGTCGCCCCTTGGCGTCGCCCCTAGGCTCGGCCCCTTGGCCCCGTCGCCCCTAGCTCGGCCCCTCGGCCCCGCAAGCCCCGTCGATTCCGTCGCCCGTGCCCGGCCCGTACCTAGCCCGCGCCCGGCCCCGTCTCGCGCCCGCGCCCGGCCCGTACCTAGCTCGCGATCTGCCCGTTCCTAGCCCCACGCCCGGCCCGTACCTAGCCCGCGACAGGCCCGTACCTAGCCCGCGCCCGGCCACGTCTTACGCCTGCGCCCGGCCCGTACCTAGCCCCGCGAACGGCCCAGTCCCTCGCCAGCGCCCGGCCCCGTACCTCGCCCGCGACCGGCCCGTTCCTAGCCCCGCGCCCGGCCCGTACCTAGCCCGCGCCCGGCCCCGTCTGTCGCCAGCGCCTGGCCCCGTACCTAGCCCGCGCCCGGCCCCGTACTTAACCCGCGCCCCGGCCCCGTACCTAGCCCCGCGCCCGGCCCCGTACCTAGCCCGCGCCCGGCCCAGTACTTAGCCCGCGCCCGGCCCCGTTCCGCGCCCAGCGCCCGGCCCCGTACCTGCCCAGCGCGCGGCCCCGTACCTGCCCAGCGCGCGGCCCCGTACCTGCCCAGCGCCCGGCCCCGTACCTGCCCAGCGCCCGGCCCTGTACCTGCCCAGCGCCCGGCCCCGTTCCTGCCCAGCACCCGGCCCCGTCCCTAGCCCAGCACCCGGCCCCGTACCTGCCCAGCGCCCGGCCCCGTCCCTAGCCATGGCCCCTCGCGACCTGCCGCCCCTAACCGCGGCCCCGGTGCCCTGTTGCAACATGGTGGGTGAGGGGGTGGCAAGAGGGGGTTCCTCCTGCCCGCGTGCCCTACAGTCGCACGCGCAGCTCCGCCCCTGCCCCCCTCCCCCCCCTCCATGGGGATGGCGGGGAGAGGGTGTGAGGGGGTGGCGGATGTGCCTCAGCAGCAGCAGCTGCCGCTACGCCTCCTCCTCTCTCTCTCCCTGCCGCACCTTGTGTTGGGAGAGGGGGGGGAGCTTGGAGGTTCAGGGGGAGGCAAGAGAGGATCTGCAGCACCAGGCCCCCCACCCTTCTCCTACCTCCCCCTGCTGCGGGTGCAGCAGTGGGGGGGAAGCGATCTGCCATCCCCCTGCTGCGGATGCGGCAGTGGGGGGAGGGGACCTGCAGCACCAGCCCCCCCCCGCCCCCCCCCTTCTCCTCCATCTCTCTGCTGCGGGTGCAGCAGTGGGGGGGAGGGTATGGGGGTGGCGGGTGTGGCCAACCTGCTGTCGCCCGAGCGGCTCCTGCACCGCCCCTTCTCCTACCTCCCCCCTGCTGCGGGTGCAGCAGTGGGGGGGGAGGGGATCTGCAGCACCAGCCCCCCCCCCCCCCCCCCCCCCCCCCCCCCTTTCTCCTCCATCCTTGGGGGGGGAGGTGGCGTGGAAGGGGTGGCCGCTGTGAACCACTACAGCCCCACCCTCTGCCCTGCCTCTCCTCTCCCGCGGCTGCTGCTGTGGGGGGGAGGTGGCGGGGATGGGGGGTGGGGGAGAGGGGGCAGGCCGCCGTGTGAAGATCAGTGCAGGGACTATTGTGGGTGGGGCAGGGGCTGGAGGAAGGAAAGGGGGAAGGGGGGTGAGATACAAGGGGGCAGCTTATAAGGGGGGTGAGATTAAGGGGGTGGTTGAATTGAGGGTGAGGACTTGGGGGTTGTTAAGAGGGCCGGCCGGCAGTTAGCTGTCACGCTCATGCACGCTCCCCCACCTCCTCTCCTCATCCCTCACTCACCTCCCCCCTTTGTAAAGTGGGTTAGTAAGAGGGATGGCCGGCAGTGAGCTTTCATGCTCATGCACGCTCCCCCACCTCCTCTCCTCATCTCTCTCACTCACCTCCTCCTTCGTTCTTATCTCCTCTCCCCTCCTCTCTCTCTCTCGCATCCTCCTCCTCACTTACCTCTCTGCCGTCTTCCACTGCACCGGGTGTACCCCTTCAAGGGGTGTTCTACACAGGTTTTCTCCTGCAGGCAGTTATGGGGGTGTGTCAGGAAATATAATTATATGTTATGTTATACACTGAACGAAATTATTGTCCTTATGCATTCGAAATGTATGATAACTTGCACCCAATTGGGGCCTAAACAAGTTTTGTAATAAACATATTGCATACAGGGTTCGCGATTGACAGTTACGAGTTTGTGTAGGCTACCTATAGCCCCAAAAAAACCTCTTGCTCTAATGAGTCAGCTCTTCCCTCTCGACACCCCACACGGACAAATCTTTCCGAAATGTCCCGCGCCTTATTTTGTGCGCTATTAGATCTAGACTAGTTAGGTTCAGAGGAGATTACGG